GCGAATTTTATCTCACGTCACAGTATAGGTAATTTCTTTTAATGTCAAGCATCCTCGTATTTATTAAAATATTTATATTTTTTACTTATATACCTACATTATTTTTTTTCACAAAACCATACTCGTATAATAATCATATATTTTAATAATTAAATTAAATAATGAATTTAAGTAAAAAATATAAATATACAAAAGTGCTCTTTTAGTTCCACCCTTACTTCTTATAAGAAGTCCCATAATAATAATAAATATATTAATAAATACGAGTACCTATACTCTTATTTATTAAAATATATAGTGGTATACCTACTCGTATTTATTTAAATATTAAAATTGTTTACTTAAATACATTATAAAAATATAAAACATAAGACTTTATTTACCTGAAAACCTTAAAATGAATTATGAAATGTTAACGTTATCCAGTTCGTTTTATTAATATTTTTCTAAAACGAAATAGAAATTATGTTTAAAAGTGGGTGTGAAATGATGGCAACAGATAATAGGAATTGGATTCCCAAAGGCACCGTAGCGTAAAATATACTTACACGAAAATAGTTTTGAGAATCAGCTGTCATCAATAAAAAATGCAAATACAAATCTCTGGAGATTTAAATTAATTATTTCTGACTGATGATTAAATGGAATATTTGACCTAGATTCTAAATTAATTTGTTCAGTTTTCTATTAATTCCATATTTAAACTTTAAGCTCAAATTTTTTAACTGTTTAATTAGCTATAGTTTTCCATTATAATAGTACCTATGGTACCTATAGTTACCATCAGTGGCGTAGATGTTGAGGTTGATAAAAAATAATTTAGTTACTAAAAAGTCATTGGTCATTAATTTTTTGCAGATAAAAATTAAATTTGTGAAATAATAGTTCTAAATAATAAATTTTAAAATATAGTTTTTTTAAAACCCATAAGATTTAATATTATTTTTATAACAATATTATTCTGGATCCTTGAAAATATGTAAATTTTTAAACATAACAATACATTGACTAATGTCTGTAAGTACCCATCGTAGGTATATTATATTACAAATTAGATATAACTTTTAATAAATAATAAATTCATAATTTATCTAATAAATTATGTACCAGCTTTATTTTTATCACAAATTGCATTGAGTCATTTCTTATCGGCAAAATATTTATTTAGTCGTACAGTAATGGCAAAAATACGCATAGTCGCATTTGCATTAGCTTTAGAATATGCGGAGGTTTCCTATTAAAACAAGTTTTTTCTATTATATAAAATAGCAGCAATAATAATTTTATTTATTAGGGTGTCCGTTATTTACCTACTGTTTTTTTTCAAACAGCTCCCCCTAAATTTTTAGTTTGTATCCTAAAAAAATTTATTAAACCAAAAAAAGTTTTTAATATTAATATTAAACCTTGCCGAAAACACGATACATTTCCCATTCTAAATAACAGGGGATTTTAACATTTATTTTTTTTCTCTTGAACAACTAAATATACAGCAAAATCCAAGAACATATTTTTGTACAAAATTTTACATGTAAAAGTACCATTTACACATTTATCTACATTTTCATCCTATTTGAGTTTTTTTCTTCTATTAGATTTTAAGTCACAACCACCATCTTTTGTTTTTCCTATGATCGCCATATTGGAATTTTGCATGGTTAGATAGAAAAAAATTCAAGGAATCCTACGATGTATCACACTACATAACTCAATATACAGTAGCGAAGAAATTGGGTTAAAAACTTAAAATTATGTGTATGTTTACATGTGAAACTTACTTATTTTCAAAATTCCCAGTAATAACGAAGTTATAACGATTTTTAATTTATTTTAAATATTTTAAGAACCGCTGCCTTTTCTCTAATTTAACGGAACTTGTACCTCTTAAATAAAAAAAGTTACCCATAGAAGTATATACCTACATAGAAGGATACTTCAGTACGTTGTTGAGAAAAATCTGTAGAGTACGGAAATAATAATAAAAAACAAAGCTATATCATTGAGTAAGGAAGTTGGTTCTTTACTCAATGGCTTTTAAAGTTTAACAAGACAACTTATGGTATCTCCTATTGTACTTTTTAAGTTTATATGATTTGTTTTTCTTAATGAATACATAGGTAAATTTTAAAAAATATATAAAATTTGAGTTTGTCATTTAAATTTATGACTAAAATAATGATTTAATAAAGTCGAAGAAATAAAAAAAGGTTAGGCTGCGGAACCCTTTGAAAAACTTATATTTATAATCAAGAAACTAAACTTGAAGAAAAATTACAAAATGTACCAAAATAATTACAAAAACTGCTTCAAATTTTGTCATTGTTGTTCGGAAATTGTTCCAGCATTGGAGGCGTTACGGTAGCAAAAGCATCTTGAATTCTGTTTGTAAGATCTTGTTCATTTTGAACTGAAGTCCTATAAACAAGGTATTTAATGTAGCTTCACAAAAAAATCGAGCAGGGTAAGATCTGGGGATCTTAGTGGCCAAGAGCCCATTTCGACTTATCAACTGTCCGGAAAATTCCCCATTTAGCCATACTCTTGCTTGGATAGCAAAGTGAACTGGGGTCCGTTTAATTGGATCCACATGTTCTGAATTTCGCCAGGGGAAGATCATCTAGCTTGTAAGGTACACTATGTATTTTCGTAACCCGATTCTTTAAGTATACTGAAATACTTGTTTTCGTGATCATCTAGTTAATTTACTTACTTTATAAAAATATATAAAAATTAGGACTCTACGTTGTGTTTTTACGTACATTGATAATAACGTTATTTTGAAATTGTTCAGGTTTAATGAAACACAAGTATTTAATTTGAAACCCTTGATTTAATTTAAGCAAAGACAAAGGGGTGGCAGGTTTAGTAAGAGCACAGGGAAAAGGGACCATAAAAACCCTGGCGACTTACACAGTTCAAATAAAAATAAAATACAAAACAAAACATAGTCATATGGGTCATAATCACAAGAATACAGTATAAATCATAAGTGAATAAAATAACATGAAAAGCAGATAAACATATTTCAAATAATTTAACATTTTATACTCAGGTAAAGTAGTTAAAAGAGATCGTCATTTTATGTTTTATTTACCTTACCACGCATCTTCGAACTATTGAACGAGGATACGATTTTATATAAATAAACTACAGCAACGACACATGTGCGATATAGAGAATTCAAATGCTTTAAAATGGAGGGGAAACATGGAAAAATATAATCTAGTGCAGATATTTAACCGTAGCCAATATCCACAATAGCACAGGCACTCTATGAAGTGTTATAATGACAGCTATGGTGGTCCTATCCCACTAAAGTGTCGGTATATCACAATATGTTCAAATATTCTTAAATCAATGTCCAGAACAAGACAAGTATTGCAAAAATATACAAACAATTCTGCACACATAGTTTATATAGGTAATAACATAAAAACACTATTTTTCTTCTAAGGATAAATCCTTTTGAAATAATGCTAATATATTACCCATGTTCAAATATTCAGGCATGAGCACTCTCCAAACGATAACACAAATACAAATACAGATATATCTATTCCAAATAAGGCGGTAAGATAAGCAGTTTAAATCAAAAGGCTAAACGGTAGGTACTATTACCTTACCATGATATTACCTAATGGTAATATCAAATTTAATAATAATAATAATAATAGTATTTTTATAAACCTTACCAAAGTAATACAAATATTATTATAATAATATAATTGTTAAAAGCTTTAGCCTGAGTACAAATGCAAAAAGTTAAAATAAATAAATACCTTAATACCGAGACGATACACTGAGTTGCATAAAAAATAAAGTACATGTCAGTTAAGGACAAAGTTATACAAAGCTATACAAAATATTAAAATTTAAGATAAATGTAATTCTGTGAATATGATGAACCCGCAACATAAAGCTTGAGATTGGAACTCAGTGTATGCGCGATCGCAAGATTTTAAACCCAAACAATGAAATAGTGATACAATAAAACTTATTACCAAAAATCACTCGTTATTTACACATATTCAATTGATTAGGACCCAATAAACTAGCAATTATAAACGTCGTAGACCCAGATGCGAATTAAATAATAATGTTTAAAATTATAAGCGAAAATATATTAAGAAAACCCAAAACGAGAAGTTGTTTATCATTACTAGCAAAAATTACAATTTATAAAATTGTACATACCTAATTATAGCAGAAAATCGGTTACAATTACAATAATTATACTTGTAATATATTGTAATATGTAATATAATTTCACTAACTTTTTATCATGCGTATGACGGTCTATACTTTTCTGCCCTTATTCTATTTCCTAATCTATCTTTTAATTTCTCGACCACTAACATTTCTACGCTTAAATACAAACAAGTAAAATTTTAAAACTCAATAGGTTTTTAAAATATAAAATAACTTAAAATTATAATACTAATTTTAGTGCATTATTTAAATTCTTCTTGGTTAAAAAAGCGCCAAATTTTAATTTAAAAGTTTATGTACCACAGGACCCTTAGAAGCTGTTCCTACTGTTCTTTTGTTAAGAATTTAAGAACATTGTTTCCTTTTAACCTGACAGGCAACATGGCTGATCCAATAAGCCCAGTACCCAGAATTCTAGCCCACACATTTACCCCAAAGCGTTGTTAATAATTATGTTCAACAGTTAGCTATATACGGATTTTCTAAAGAATAATAATGGTTATTGTTTTGATTTAAATATCCCTCTCTTAAAAAATTCACTTTATCAGTCCACAAAACATGGGACCTAAATGTAGTATTTCCAGCAACTTCCCTACAAACCATGTCTGCGCAAATGTATGTCAGTTCGACATGACCTATATGTCGTTTTTCGATTTATTAAAATATATCAGAGTACGATTATATTTGTAATATAACTAGAAGATATCAAACAAATCTTAATTATTGAAAATTAATGGTATTTGAGGCATTCGAGGATGTCGACGTAACTAATCTTAATATCTCTTTTCCAGGAATGCTTATATCCATCCCATTCCTATTTTTGACACTGATGGCACACGTTTTAATTCAAGACAGAAATCTTCATATGAATGCCCTGATGTGTTATGTTTTCAACTTAATGATGTCTTACATTTTACTGGTATCCATTGAACTGAGTTCGACCATCAGTCCACCTTGGATGTGCACCTTTATAGGTATTTTTAATACAATAATTTGTTTTTAATATATATATTGTATTGTATATATATATATATATATATACATATTTTATTTTAGGACATGCAAGCTTATTCTTTTTTATATCGTCAATATTTTGGATGAATATAATTTGTTTCGATATATACTTAACATTTAGGTAGTATGAGCAGTATGAATATTTTAAATATATTTTCTTATAATTTGTTATTATATATTATAGTGGCAGAAGGGGTTTTAACGGAATAAGAAATAAGGACAGCAAAAGATTTATTTTCTACACGCTGTATGCAATTTTAGCACCCTCTTTATTAATTTTTATTATATATCTTATTAACACATTTGGTGATGCAACAAAATCATACTACCCAGGAATTGGTGAGCAACAATGTTTTCTTCAAGGTAAGTCTTAACGAATATTATTTATAAAAAGCAAAACGTAATTATATTATTTTAGATGGAATACCCTATTTGCTTTACTTTCATGGTCCCATGGCTATTTTACTTATTATCAACACAACATTTTTTGTTTTAACAGCAATTAAAATAAGGAGGGTTAAACAGGAAACTAACGTGTTAAAGAAAGGTGATAATAGATCAACTTCTGACACTAAAATGTAAGTAATATTATTAAGCTTTTAAATTAAGTATGAAATAGCAAACATTTTAGAAAAAAATGCTTCTTTAGGTTCCATCTGTACATGAAGCTACTCCTTGCAATGGGTATCAACTGGATATTGGAAACTGTTTCGTGGGCAGTTGAGCAATACACTCAACTTCCAAAAGAAATTTGGGCGGTCACAGACTTCTGCAATGCAATTTACGGACTGTTTATTTTCATTATATTTGTTGTCCTAAACAATAATACAAGAAAAATACTAAAACAAAGGTATGTCTTAAGTTAAACTAATATTTTCGTCTATAAACGATAACTGACAACCGAAAATAAGTAGTTAACATTTTTTGTTATATGCAAGTTTTAGATTATTGTGGATTAAACCAAAGAAAGAGATTCAAACAGTGGTAACAGGAAGTTCTTGATGTTTAAACTGTTTACCAGGTGAAATGTGGTAGTAAGTCGATAATTATTGAAAATATTGCCATTGCACTTGGTGGTTTTGCTAAATTTAACACTAATCCACGTTTTCATTAATTTTAATGACTTTTTTTTCTATCAAAGTAACGCCATTAAACTTAATCATTTATTGAAAGAAATAATTCCATTAAATAATAGGGTTTCAATCTGCTGGTTAAAGGTGTACCTATTAACAAACAAATTGCTATAACAATGTAGTCCAACATCAAAGTTGCTATTTTTTGAATATTATTTATTTAATATTGAGTAAAAAAAAACACTAATTAAAATTCTATCAAGTGTATTGACATCATACAAACTTATTTTAAAAATTGCGATCTCTAAATGCTCATAATTTGTTATTTGTATTATCGGAGCTTTTGAGTCTTCCTGTTGAAGACAAACCACATCCATTATAGGAGATGATCTATATAAGTTAAGGCTGGGAATCGATTACGAATAATTCGAATATTCGAATATTCGAGTATTCGAATAGGGGTGGAAATCGATTATAAATTATTCGAATACTCGAATATTCAAATATTCGAATATTTGAATATTCGAATACTCGAATACTCGAATATTCGAATACTGGCATATTTGAATACTCGAATATTCGTCGAATATTATTCGAATACTCGCATATTTGAATACTCGAATATTAAAACACTTTAAATTAGTATATATAAGGGTGGTGCAAAAAAAACTTTTTTCGAATATGTTAATTTGTCATTTTTATTAAAAAAAATTAACAGCTCTCATCAAAAATTAGATGGCTTTTGAATTTTGAAAATTCCAAAAATAACCAAATTCGAAAAAAGCGATATATGTAGTCGCTTCGTTTTGGACAGTAGCAAAAAGTAATCAGTAATTACTAATTTCAAGCATAGACAATGTGTGGGTTGCCATATGTGTAAAAAAGTAAATAACTACTGCTGACGTAATCACCATCTAGACCCCCACCCCCCATGTCATCAACAATAAGCAAAGCAAAGATAGTTTTGATTAATTGAAATATTTTAATATTCGAGTATTTAAAAATTCGATTATTTGAATATTTAAAAATGTACTCTATATTCAAATTATTCGAATGTACGAGGACATGAATCACAGATTATAAAGACATGCATATTCGAATTATTCGAATTTACTAGAACACGAATATTCGAATATTCGAATAATCGAATACTCGAATATTCGAATAATTCGAATACTCGAATAATTCGAATATTCGAATAATTCGAGTATTTCAAATAATTTTTAAACGAGGATTCGAATTCCAAAAACTAACAAATTCCCAGCCTTAATATAAGTAGCCTGCAAATTATGGTCCACACAGTAAGAAATGATGGTAAAATTACGGATAAAAATATGTAATTACATAAAAAATATGGTGTTTCAAATAAACGCATACATTATTACGGTTATTGAGTGCTTTTACCGAATGTATTCTGTAAAAGGTAAATATTTTACAGAATAAAACGTTGGCTATTCTGTGGCCAACGTAATATTCTGTAATTTTTTCTTACTGTGTGGACTATAATCTACACGCTCTGAAAATATTGCACAGAGACAACTATCCTTAATTCAACTAATAAATTTAAAGTCAAAAATAATTTTTTTTAAAAATATTCAAATAGCAAAAGCAATAATACAATTTATAGCCCACTCTAATTAAACATCATAAAGTATTCGGTGAAAGGTTTTGTAACTAACAGCATGGTATATATATATATATATTGCACTTAAATGTTTAAATTATCTAGGTTAAAATTATCTGACTGGTTAATTAAATAAATATTTTTAAGATTTTAAATAATTTAAACAGATAATTTGGTAATTATTACCAAACCATTTGTTTAAATTATACTGGGACTAAGAAGAATATATTCAGGAGCTTCATCTCCACATATGCGAAAAGAGGAAAAGCGTCGCTCGGAAGAAGCGGTGTACAAAGCGCACATAGACCGTCGACACACGTGACTAAATGCACATGCACGGTTGGTCAACGTTTGATATTTAAACTTGGTAACCTGCGCACAACCATTATTTTTATTAATATTTTTATGGAATTGAATAATAACATATAATCTTAACTGGGACCATCTGATAATAATTATATACATTAATTGATTTGAAATATTTCTTAATTGAATGATACAATTTATTACTATTATTGTTTATAAACATTAATACATAGGTGCAATGTACCAAAATAATTACTTTAGGGTTTTTGTATTTATGCTTCCAGTGGCTCAATAATAATTTCAAACAATACTCTTAAGAACCACCATAATTATGGTGCATGAAAAAACTATATTTTTTCTATAAACATGTTAAACAAGTATTGGAAATATACCCCAACACAAAAACAAAACACTTAAAGTACTTTTAGCCAACGATGTTGGCATCTTTAGAAGCGAAGTGTAACTACTGCTATAAACATGTGTCCAATCTAGCTTCATTTGTATTAATATTTTATAACCACCCTAATTATGGTGCATGAAAAAAAACTATATTTTTCCTATAAACATGTTAAACAAATATTAGAAATATTCCCCAACACAAAAACAAAACACAAAGTTCTTAAAGTACTTTTAGCCAACGATGTTGGCATCTTCAGAAGCGAAGTGTAACTACTGCTATAAACATGTGTCCAATCTAGCTTTATTTGTAGGTGCTTTTAATGACATTTTTACTTTGGAGAATAAAAATATGTTATATATTAATACAAAATTAAGTTTACTTAAAGGTATACCTCTGCCTTATTATTTATATTCCAAAATGTATTTAATAAGAACGTACATATAATATAATGTTTAGAGGCTTTTTCGAAAACTTCTCTGGGTCCAAAAAGTCACATGACCAGTACTCGAAGGTTACTTACTCGATCACCTTAATAAGCAAAAATCACGGGTTACCAAATATAACAGTTTTTTTCAAATAAAACCGCCTAAATTAAATATTAAAATTTAAAGATTTAAATACCTTAAAATCAATATTGATAAAATAAAGATAAATTCCACACTAAAAAAAGAACAGATGTAATAATATTATATTATAATGTTAAAAAAGGATTTGTTTCAGGTAAGATAAAACCCCACACGTTTTCAATGGGGTTTAAGTCAGGGCTTCTAGCTGGCCATGGCAAAACAGTTATGTGGTTGTTGTTTACCCACTCTGTAACCACGCGAGCTGTGTGAACTGGTGAATTGTCCTGTAATATAATATTTATTAGAATCGTTTTTGAATACTATACAGTTTTCTTACATGTTGGAATATAAAGTTTTCTGGAAACACATGTCTAACTGAAGGTAGGATAACGTTGTCCAAAATCCTCGTATAGTGCTCAGCCGTTAATATACCATCAATTTCCCAACATACTCCCGGACCATGGATGCTTATCCACGCCCAAACATTTATGGAAAAGCGTCCACTATTTGAGGTTCTTAATGTATAGTTCTCCTCAAATCTTGCGTTTCTTGGACGATATACATGCAGCCTTCCATTATTGCAAGATTGGAACGTTTTTTCATCCGAAAATATAACATTATTCCAAAAATCGTCTCCATAATTTAAATAGTCATTGGCGAACTGGACTCTCCTGCGCTTATTTTCGTCAGTTAAAAAAACCTTATGAGCAGCAGCACAGTTTTTTAAACCAGCTTGTTTCAATCTTTTTTGAGCTGTTCGAAGAGATCCTGGAAATTGTGTATCTTCTCGGGCCTTAACTGCGCTATTGAAAGGATTTTGCCTAATATGTGCGACAAGAGCATTGTCTTCATTTTCGTTGGAGATTTTTCCTACACCTTGCCTGATAGGTCTTCTTAATCTTTGTTGTTCTTGCCAACGTTTTTTGATATAAAATATGCAGCTTTTACTGACATTTAAATCTGCAGCTACTTCACTGAAAGACCAATTTTCTTCTAATTTGGCTATTGCCCTGTACCCCTGAGTCTCGGTTAAGTGGGATGGCATTTTTAATATTGCAATTGACAACTATTATCAAATTTGACAACGACCGACGACACTCATGCAAAGCCCATATTACACGATTAAATTTTGCCCTTTACATTTCGGGGACGCCAAAGGTACATACAATAAAAATAAATATTTAGGTAGAAATGTTAATTTCGCAAAGAGAATTTTCCGAAATTTGGCGAATTTAAATAATTTTATTGAAATTAATGTAAAAATAATTATGATGCAATATTAGATTATGTTTTAAATAAATAAATAATAAATATTAGGGTGTTTCAAAATAAGGCAATATTTTTTTTCTTTAAAGTCATGTGATTTTGTTAAAATTTGAGCTTTTAATATTAATTTTAAAAGGTCCATCATCGATTTTAAAGTTTTCCGATTGATTTAACATGGAAAAATATTTTTTAAAGATTTATTTCGCCTGCATGCTATGTACAAATTGTCTACTAAAAATCTTACAGAGTCCAGTCTGTAGATTTTACATTTAGCGGCTAAACTACTAATCGTAGAAAAAAGTCAATTAGCAATTTTGAAGATCTTTTTAATGTTCTACAAATTCGTTTCAAACAATTTTTTTATCACCTACAATTCAAATGTTATGAATGTCTAAAATCCTATTTTCATGATTATGCATAATATATTATTATAATATTCACTGTAGGAAAAAAACTTTAGGGACAATTTTGCAGGAAACTCGAAGCACTATAAATAACGTACCAAGATTCTTAAACACACTCAATTAATCGCTGAATTTAAGCTAAAATAGCTTAACTTTTGTGATATTCTTAATTTCATTATCCAGCTGTTGACTGCACATAAAATTTTATACT